TATGATCACTTTCATATTATACAGATAATGAATTTGGCTTAAAAGTACCATAATATTTGGTAGACTTCCAGGCCAGAATCCTTAATACATCACAAAATACATTTTGATATCCTAAAGAATCAAGACTTGCAAATAGGTGTTTAAAAAATATGTGATTTGCCGCTATGCAGTTCTACTGTTAAAGCATTGAGGTTTTTAAAGAATCTCCCAGTATCCAGAGGATAAAAGCAGGGAGCAGCATACACAGAAGTCCATTCTGTAAGGCTGTGAAGATCTGTAGCACAGTGGAAAGGGCCTTCTGCTTCCTCACACTCCATACAAACAGTAAGTAACGTTGTGTGTTTCCCAGTCGCTCACTGTCTTGTTATCCTGTCATGTTCTGCTCTGTTGATCAAATACTGAGTGGCTGTGGGCTTCCAACAAGAGGATCCAGAGTTGTGGTCTGTCAAAAGGGAACCGATGGACAGCAAAACCTTTGAAATAGTCTAAGTGAGACTGCAGTTGTCTTTTAGGATGTCCAGACAGATGACTTCTGGAGTGTTGATTGTGTAGGGATAGATTCTGGTGTGGAAAGCAGGGGCTTAAGTGGGTAATTTGATGAAGATGTGATATCCAGAAAAAACACCACCTTCATGTACAGAACCTGGTTGACCAAGTACTGTTGAGCTCCTTTCATAAATCTTCTCTTTTAGGCCTAGCACTGCAGTTAGGAGGAGCAAAGGTTATTTCAACTAACTAACATCCCGCTGAATTCTTCCAGCATTAGTGGATAATTTAGCAGTGGTTTGGTATTTTTCTTCTGCTAGGTAGCAGGTTTTCTTTCTTGTTCTTCAAGGCTCTGGAGTGGCTGGGTCTCGCTGGTCCACATCCGGTGTTGGTGCCTTAGCCGGGATTTTGACCTGTCACTGGACAGCTTGGTGAAGTTAGCACTTAGAAAACTGGGCCTCTTGCCTGGCCCATTTACAGGCCTCTTAGAAATTCTGAAAGATGAGGGGTTTCACTTTCTATTTTTATATTCCCTTGTGCCTATCATAGTGCCTACCCAACACACAGAGAATACTTAATACGTGTTTGTTGAATGAGTTAAATGATGAATGTAACTTATAGTAAATATTTTACTGTTATTTCATCATTTTTGTTCTCATTTTAGAGTTTGTGGTAATAACTATATTACTATATTTTATTATATTAAAGGTCAGCATTTTTCCAGAAAAACTTATTTGGCATTAAAATTAAAGAGAAAAATTAAAGTTTCTATAGTAAACAGAATTTTATTTTTAAATATATGTTATAAAGTGGAATAAGTTAATGGTAGGTGATAGAAAATAGTATCAAGAAAACATGAAAATCTTAATAGTGCAGATTAATGTAATGTCACAGCCACTAGGACAGTGGTATGTATGACCAAGTGTAACAGTAGGAACTGTCAGTCCTGAGGGACTCTGGGATGCATATGTGAGAAGGAGCAGGACTAAGTTCTAGAGAACTGACTGCAGGACGCTGGGAGTTGGGTTTACCTGCCAGATTTCTTACGAATTCAGACAGTAACCCACAAATCCTTTAGGCCCTAGAACAGCGGAGTCCATTTGTGAAGAGTGTGTGTGTATATGTGATAACTTTTAAAGCACAAAACATACAAATATTTAATATTAGTAACTAAACATCCAGTTGGTTTGTTTTAAGTCCTGAGATGATTTTTTAACTGTGAAAACGCACATGCTGTACTTCGGCTTCCTGAGTTCAGGGACCTCTGAGCCGAGACCCATCTGCAGTGTCTCTAGTGCCTTGCCTGGCCTTCTCTGACACCCCTTTAGCATGTGTACTGTATTTCGGCGAGAGATGCTTGGATCTGAGGGTGGAGGACCCAGGACTAGAATGACTTTTAGATTACTCACATTCAAATCTTATAGTCACCGCTTGGATAATACCTATTCGTACGTCCACTGAGAGGTAACAAGGAGTTACGCCAAGGACCGGGGATATATGAAGTGCAATAAAAAATACAGACTGCTGGGCCAGGGATCTGGCTCAATGGTTCCGCTGCCTGCCTCGCAAGCGCAAAGGCCCAAGTTCAATTCCCAGTACCCCCCCCAAAAAAAAAACTTACAGAGTACTAAAAATGTATCACAGCAAAAAGACACAGTGCCATTAATCCCCCTTCAAAATGCTCCCTCTTACTTCAAACACTCCCCATTATTCTTGCCACATTCTGAAGCAGTTCTAGAGTCCTTTATTGTGAGTGTCTTTAGTTGCCCTACGTAGGTGCCTTATGTCCTGAATCAATTCAAAATGTTTATCTTTCATGGTCGTTTTGACTTTGGGGTTCAGCCAGAAGTCACATGGTGCCATCCAGTGAATAAGGTGGATGAGGACACACTGTGATGTTTTGCTGTAACAGAAATTACCATAAACATTTTGAATAGATTCAGGGGAATTAGTAGCAATGTGTTTATTAGTATAATACATTTTTATTATTTTTATTTAAACATTAACTGTATGTTGTAATTAGACCTTGTAGCTCACAGTTAAGTACTTGCCTACCATGTAGAACATCCTGGGTTCATTCTCAGCACTGAAAAGGAAAATTAAGCCATGACAATAATTTGAATTTTATACCTTAACTCTCAGAACTCATACTGTTTTATCAGTTGTGTGTACATTTTTTAATAGATTATTTCTCCCGTGTTCTTTTACCCTTCTCTCTCTTTTTTTTTGGCTGGTATTGAGAATGGAACCAAGGGGCACTCTACCACTAAGCTACATTCCCATCTGTTTCTTTTTTATTTTGAGAGTGGGTCTTGTGTAAAGACCCAGACTCAGGTTGCCCTTGGACTTGAGATTCTCCTGCCTTATCCTCTAGAATAGCTGGGATCTCAGGTGTATACTACCACGCCTCCTTTACCCTTAATACTTTTAGATGTAATAAAATTTGTTTACCCCAGGCCTTCTCTTAGATGAAATGACTCCTTCAGTATCATGCCATTCAAGGTATTAAATATTAAAGAAGTTGCTTTATGAGCCATTGTGTATAGTACTTTCTAATTGTACCATTACAAGTCATGATTAAAACCACTTAATAATGGCCAGGGATTTAGTTCAGTGGTCCTGCCGCCTGCCTCACAAGTGCAAGATTCTGAGTTCTATCCCTGGTACCAAAAACAAAACCAAAACAACAAAAAACCCTTTTAATAACAATGCTTTAAGAATATTTCTATGGACCGGAGATTTAGCTCAGTGGTGCCACTGCCTGCCTCGCAAGCACAGAGACCCGAGTTCAATCCCCGGTACCACAAAAAAAAGATTCTATGATAAGATTGCTGTGGGACACTTTGGGATCCACTGGCTTTTAGAGGAACTATTTGGTTTTATAAATAGTTTAAATTCATTTCTATTGTATAGAAAATTGTTCCCCTTACACAAAGACAGAGACATTAAAATGCCTCTGTTTTCTTAGTAATATTAATGACCCTTGAAGCTATTTACTTTCAAATAATTTTTCTACCAGTTGTGAAGGTATAGGCAGACCGAATTTAAGTGTTCTACTTCCCACTCATGCAGGCTTCTGCCTTAGGGCTCTACATCCCCTCATACACCTGTTTATTATGTATGTCCATCTGCAATCAGAAAACTTTTGTTCTATGTGACTCAAGATATTAACTGTTTAGAAAAAGTTTTGAAAACTCAGTGCTGCTTAAAAAACAAAACATGACCCTGCCTCAAAAAAACCAAAAAAAATAAAAATAAATAAATAAAATATGCCGGGCATGGTGGCACACGCCTTTAATCCCAGCACTCGGGAGGCTGAGACAGGAGGATTTCTGTGAGTTCAAGACCAGCCTGGGCTACATAGTGAGTTCCAGGTCAGTCTCAACTACATAGTGAGACCCTGCCTCAAAAAGCCAAAAAATGAAAAATAAATAAAAACATGAAAGGGAAAAATGACAATACCTTAGAAACTTCCTCTGTCCTATCCCTTCTCTTTTCTTACCTCCAGGTCACAAGAGGTTGGCTATCTCCCGTTCTTGGCTGTCTTGTCTGTCCTCTTCTTGCCTTTTAAACTTCTCTTGAATGTGCTTGTGTACACTAGGGGCAAGGGAGAGCAATGAGGGTAAAGGATTTGTTTTGCAAGATGCAGGAGCACTAAAAGAGAACAGATGGAATAGAAATAAGAAACTTCTCTAGATCTTACAACTAAAGTCAGCGCTGAAAGGGCATGCAAGAAGGCCTGGACTCAATCAATCCTTAGCACCTTCTGTCTTGAAACAAAACAAAACAGATTTGAAAGGGGCCCACTTCTTCCTGAAAGGAGCTTAGTTATTCTTTGATTACAGTCCCTTAATCTCATGGGTGCTCACTAAATATGTATGGAATTTAAATCCATCTCATTTTATGGGAGAAGAAATAGGGTACAACCCCTGCCCCCAGGTTATGCATTGTCCAGGGCCATTTAGATAGCTAGTTGCAGAGCTTAAGGGACCCAAGTCCTCCAATTCCTTAACCAATTTCGGTGCCATTAGACATTAAATATCATTTTTTTCAATGCAAACATTTCTTTTTAATTTCCTGGCAGAGTAAGTAAGTCAACTATATCCTTTCTAGAGCCACTGCCACTTACTAGATCTGTTAATGGCAGTGTAGTAGAAAGAATATATATTTTTGGAGTCAGACCTGGATCTAAATTTTAGCCCTTAAGCAAGTAGTTCCTGATCTTTGCAAGCCTAGGCTTTCATATTTCAATAGACGAAGTCAATAATAGCTACCACATAGTATTGTTATGACAACTAAGTGGACTGAGCCTAAGAAATACTTAATTTGATACGTGGCACAAATCAGAGGCTTCAGTATATATTTGTGAAATGAACAAATAGTAATTATTGCTATATTTGATCTCTTTCATAGAAGGTCAACATGCCTTTTAGAAGGTAAGTCAGTTATTTCTTTTTGGCTAGAAAATAACCTGCTTTGGATCCCTGACAGCCTTTTAATTTTTTAAATTCCAGGTTAATCCATGGAGGACAGATGCTAAATGGATTGGCAGGTCCAACGGTAATGAACGCAGCACCATTCCTGTCTACAACATGGTTTTCTGCAGATGAACGGGCCACAGCCACTGCGATCGCATCTATGCTGAGTTATCTTGGTGGAGCATGTGCATTTTTGGTCGGACCACTTATTGTTCCTGCTCCCAATGGGACATCACCCCTCCTTGCTGCAGAGAGTGGCAGGGCTCACATTAAAGATCGCATCGAGATTGTGCTGTATGCAGGTGACTGTGTTTTTACTCTTCTTGTTATACCTTTTTTTTAAAGCCCCGTCATCTTTACTCTATTTTTTTTTTATATCAGATCACTTCATATGAAATAAGGACTGAAGTTTGCCCACACACATAATGAGCTTTCTTTGTTGTGTAATATCAAGGTGCCTGTTTAAAAGGTATAGAAAGTTACCGGATTTAAAATGTATTCTCACTATATGGAAAGTTCTTTCTTAGTATTCTTCATCCATTTTCAGTGAAGCACTGTATAACACATACTCTAGTGTCACCTCTAGATAGTAAACCACTATATAAATTAAACATGATTGAGCATAAACATCTGTCAGACAGATAGATGTTGGTAAGCTTTCAGCCCATTTTTTCCCTTGCAGATTTTCTCTTTATTGGCTATGTTCTCTAACCTCATTAACCTTAAACACTTTATAGTTCATTCTTCTCTTTACTTCCTGTCTTCTATATGTTAAGTCTATTAATCAGGGATACTGGCCTTTCCAAAGTATTCCCTTGAATCATTTTTGTTTCTATAGTTGAGCTCTAGCTCACTCTTATATTACCATATTCTACAGATACTAAACATGTCCTCTCTCCTGGTGTGCCTCTTGTTTCTTTCTACAGAGAGAGTGCTTTGTATAAGTGTTTACTACATATTCACACTATTTTAAGCACTAGGAATCAGTGAGGTCAGCGTTGAGATGATTATAACACAAAGAGGAATACGGAGATTGGGAGGCCTTACATGTTTGGGTTGGGAGAGAAGTTGAACAGTTAGGGAAAGCTTCACCAAAAACATGATAATAAAGTTAAGACTTTGGTGGGAGTTCTCTTGGCCTGCAGTTTGATGTGGTTGCCGTGGTATATATGTGTGGCTGTACCAAGTGGCAGAAGACAAGGAACCAGATTTTGCTGAACTTTGTCTTCTTTATTCATTTCTAATTTAACAAACTTTTGGTTTGTTTTTTTGAGACAGGATTTTTCTGGGTAGTTCAAGGCCTTGAATTCACTGTATGGTGCAGGCTTGACTCGAACTCAAGGTGATCCTTCTGCCTTAGCTTCCCAAGTGCACACTGTGCCTGGCTTTAGCACACATGTCTTGAGTCCTATACGCCTGTGACCGTGCTAAGCATTGAGGTGGACATGGTTTGTGCTCTGAAGGATGAAGACAGGAAAGTGCAGTTGTAGAACAGAATGATGGGTGCTATGTGGAAGGCTTGTAGTTGCACTGGAAGCTCAGAGGAAGATCACCTAGTGCAGATTCTCATGGGGAAGTGGAGCTTCCCAGAGATGCAGCAGCAAACCTAGAACCTGAGGGACGAGAGAGAGGAAGCCAAACACTGGACGGGAGGACGAATGAAAAGGACAGAGCGCTTCAGAGAAGAAGCTCAGGAAAGAGAGAACTGAAAAGTCCAGAGTGGCTTAGATCTGATGTGAGTAGAGATGGGGAGAAAGAGAGAGAAGCCAGGGCTTGCCGTTCTCGTAAGCAGGGCTGAAGGGTTTGCACTTTGGCTACTATAGGCAAGTATCACAGTCTGAAGTTTATGTCAGAGTTATAGGATGAGATTTACATTTAAACATAGGCTTTAGATGGAATAAAACTGAAAGCGGGATCTGTGGCAGTCCATAAAGCATTTAACTCCCCATGGTTATTGTGGTTATTGCATTAATCAACTTTTCATTGGCTGGACCTAACAACACAACCTAAAGAAGGAGAGGTTTAATTTGACTCTCTGCTTCAAAGGATTTTGGGCATTGCTACCTGGAGCTTCAAGGCAGGAGCATCATGGCAGAAGGGGCTGTTGAAGCAAAAACTGTTCACTTCATGGTGCCAGGAAGTAGAGCATGGGAGAAAGACGCCAGAGAGACACACCCAGGAATATGCCTTACCGATCTCCTTAGTAGCTCCCCAGCCAACCAAGTTGACAATCAAGATTAGCAATCATTAGTATATACAACTCATTCTTTTTTAAAAAATTGAAATTGTAAAAATAAATAAGTAGAAGCCGGACGTGTTGGCACATGCCTTGTAATCCCAGAACTCAGGAGACTGAGGCAGGAGGATCACTGTGAGTTTGAGACTAGCCTGGGCTACACAGTGAGTTCCAGAGCAGTCTGAACTACACAGTGAGAGCCTGTCTCAAAAAAAAAAAGTAAATAAATAGAAGTGAAAGAAGGTGAAACTTAAGTTTTAAATTATTCTTAATGTTTGTTTTTCTTGTGGTACCAGGGATTGAACTCAGGTCCTTGTGCTTGCAAGGCAGGCAGTGGAACCATTGAGCCAAATCCCTGGCCCTATATTTTGGAAATATCTTTCATTTTATTGAAAACCTAAGCAGTGATCCTGTCTTTTAAATGACCAGGTTTTAGGCACTACGAGATATGTATTAATGCTCTGAGTCTCTCTGGCTTATGTCTTCCATGGGGTTAAGCAGAGCCCTTCCTCACCACTTCCTAGTTACCCCGCATCATCCAGTTACGACTGACCTGACATATGAACAACTTGGGTTACAACCGGAATTTTAGTTTTAACTTAGACCAAAATGTTGAATTATGACCCGAATACCAGGTGCTTGTGTTTCCTGATGGTCTCAGATACAGATTTAACCCTTAAAGAGTTCTGGAAGGAACATTACAACATCCTTTCCTGTGTGGAGTTAATTGGGAAATCCTGGGCCAGTGTCTCAAAGGACACTGAGATCTGCCTGTGTATAAGAGAGAGGACTTTGAAGGCTGTGTAGAGGAGCCTGAGCCTTCAGGTGACCAATTTAATTTACCACCAGCCCTCTGGAATGACTGAATTCATAAGTCAAGGGTCTGCTCTATTTCTTTAGCACTTTCACACTGAAACCACAGGCGAGTCTGCTAGTCTGTCTCTCTGAAACACTGTCCTGTAATTCTTCAGTCCATTAAAAATACTTTTGCTAGAATTGTTGCCTTAAAAGGTTAAAGACTCTTAAATTATTCCAGACAAAGGTACTTTATGAAAAGTAAATGACAGACCGATATCTCTTATGAGTATAGACCCAGAAGTCATCAGCAGAATACTAGCAAACCAGATCCAGAAACATATAGCAAGGATGATGGTCCATGACCAAATACAGTTCATTCTAGTAATGCAAGATTGGTTTGACCCTCAAAACTCAGTTACAGAGTAAAGAGGGAAAATGGATGATCCTATTAAGATATAAAAAAGGCATTTGATAGAACCCTTACCTTTTCAAAGTGAACACAGTTAACAAACTAGAAATAGGCATTCCCTCAACCTAATTTAAAAAAAACATACAGGTAACATCATATTTAATTGTCAAAGTCTGAATGCAGTTCTCATAAAACATAAACAAAAGGATGATGTCCACTCTTACCACATCTATTTAACATTGTGCTGGAGGGTCTAGCTAGTGCCATGGGCAAGAAAAAAGAAAAAGTATCAGGATTTCAAATAAAGAATGGAAAACATCCCTACTGAAAAATTACATGATCTAATAAACTGTTAGATATAAAAGATGACTTCAGCAAGGTTTTAAAATACAGTATGTCAAAATTGATTTTATTTTTGTACATTGGCAAGGAATAATCCAAATATGAAATTAGAGAACAATGTATAATAATATCATAAAATACAATATTTAACAAACAAAATGCAAATTTGACAAATGAAGTATAAAACTCTGAAGACTACAAAACACTATTGAAAGACATTAAAGACATAAAAAATAGCCTATATTCATGGGTTAGAAAGTTCAACATCATAAAGATATTCCCAAATTTTTCTACAAATTAATGTAATCCTATGAAAATCCCAGCTGCCTTTGTTATAGATATGAATAAGCTAATCCTAAAATCTGTTCAAAAATGTAAGATCCAGAAATAACTAAAACAATCTTGAAAAAGAACAATTTTAGAAAACTCACACTTCTCAATCTCAAAAATTATTAACAAAGTTACACTAATGCAGATAGTATGATGCTGACAATAAAAAAAAGGGGCCGGGGATTTAGCTCAGTGGTTCGGTGGTCTGCCTTGCAAGCGCAAGGACCCGAGTTCAATCCCCGGTACCAAAAAAAAAAAAAAAGAATTCTAAAAAAAAAAAGAATAAAGTACTGATACATGCTCCTGTATGGATGGCCCTTGAAAACATGCTAACTGAAAAAACCTGGTGACAAAAGACTATATTTGATGGTTTCAATTACATTAAATGTCCTAATACTCAAATCTGTGAAAGTAGATAGGTGGTTGACTAGAGCTAGGGGATAGGGTTTCTTCTGAGATGATCAGGAATCTCTGAAATTATGATAATAGTTGCACAGTTGAATAAATGTACTAAAAAGCAATGGGTTATGCACATTGAAGTGAGTTATGTTACATAAATTATGTCATGAAGCTGCTTACAAAAATACTTACAGAAAGAAGGTAAAAAAAATACAAACAAGGCAATTACAGAGGAAATACAAATGTCCAATAAGTGTATGGAAGAACTATAAATTTTAAAAATTCATTAACAATTCATTCAGATTAACAAAGAACACAGATTGAGAACATGCAAAAGAATGTTAACAATTTTGTCATTCGGAATTAGAAATTTAGGGCCCAGGATTTAGCTCAGTGGCACCCTGCCTGCCTGGCAAGCACAAGGTACTGAGACAAAACAAAAACAGAATTAGAATTCTCTAAATTTCCAATTGCTTCAGTGAAATTACCTATGCTTGTGTCTTATAGGGGTATTATTCCATTTGCTATGAATAGAAGCCTGAATTATCCAACAGACAATTCTTGTTGGCTCTTTATTTTCTCATCTTCCTCTCCCTTCTATAGAAATCACTAAATTTAATCCCTTTATTGCCCCAGGAAGATTTAATGGTTCACTCAAGGTACTGTAGTTAACCGCACAGACATTACTGTACTCCACATTTCCTGACTTTGCTGTTACTATTTGTGCTTTTCTACTAAATTGAGCACAGTTTAAAAAAGCTGGCACAACAGCACTGTGGAGGGGAGGATGGAGAATCCTAGAAACTGTCCCATCTAGAATGGAGCGAAATTCAGATGGTTTGAGAAGTTCGTTTTACTTCTGGTTGTTTAATATCCTATTATTTTATCTGGTAGTTTTGTGTCTCTTGGTTTCTTCTTCTTCTTTTTTTTTTTTTTTAACTTTATAACATCTCTCCCAGTCTAATCTTTATTGGTTTGCCTAGAGCCACATAATTTTGGCACACTTGAATTTGCAAACACTGAAAAAAAATGTTTAAAAAAACCCCAGAACACCACATACAAACACATTTTATCTATACTTAACATCTCACATATAGCTGTAAGAAAATATAAGTGAAACTACTAAATTCAAAGGGGAGAAATTCCAGGAAAAATTTTTAAAAATTCCCAGGGGGTTGATGGTGTATAGCAGTGGTAGCAGTGGTAGAGTCTGCTTATCATGCCTGAGGCCCTGGGTTCAATACCCAGCACCACCAAACCCCTCCCACAAAACAAAACCACAAACAAATACAAACATTCTAATAGTCTCACAGCATAACTAAGGTTTTGAAGAAACATAAGCTGAATTCAGCTGTCTATATTTAATTAGATGTGTTATATTTACTAAGGAGCCATGAATATATAATTTCTTAGACTTTAATACTAAGAGAAATAATTCCAAGAGATTCAAAATGGGTGGTGATCTAGATCCACTCAAAGTATCTTTTGAACAGGGGAGCAAAAGTAATAAATTTGAGAAAGCAATGCTGAAATACTTGGCTTCCAGTAAGTACTCCAGAAAAAGTAACCATGAAGTGTTGACAAACACTGTGGCTGGAATAGCTAAGACATTTCCCAAGTTTAAATTTAACTTTAAATTTCCTAAATATATAGCTATTAGACACATATGCCAGGCAACTACTGATGCTAGAAAAGTATTTTAGCATTTTAGAAAACCCCTCCCAAGTTCAGTCCCAAACAAGGCTACTTAGTGTGCGTCTCATGATTTCTTACTTTGAATGCTTTCTTGTCTTTTTCAACTTTCTTGTATAGTCTGTAAATTGAATCTGCCCTCCATATGCATTAGAATTCTTACTAATTAAACTTTCTACCTAGTCTTAGCAATTTCCTTTCATATTCTTTCTTTCCAAGTTGCATCCTTAGTGGACAGTCATGCTAGACTTGTTTCAGAATCTCTTTTGCAGTAAGGTACTGTTGTTTTGTTTTGTTTTGTTTTTTCAGCTTTAATTGAGTTTATTGGTACATTTTAGGGATACAGTACAATTACATTCATTGTTGGGATCTTGTACCTTTACATGACAAGTCTTGATTCTCGTTTTTTCCCCTTACCTCTGCCCTCCCTTCACCCCCTCCTCCCCTCCCCATCTACAAATACTTTATTTTCATCTTTTCATTCTCTCACATTTTTTTCTTTTCCCTTTTTACTCTTCCCCTTTTAATGTGCCTTTTCCATTTAGTTTACTCCCTCAGTCTTTTGTCCACGTCGTATACCAGTACCATGCTCCTTTAGTTACAGTGCGACTTCTTACCTGAGGCCTGCTGAGATTCTGTCTGTATTACTGCTTTCTTACTGAACAAAAGGTTAGCTAGGTACTATATTTTGCTTGATGCTCAGTAAATATTTGTTAAATACTAGAAACACCGAACTGTTACCAATTAAGACTTTACTTACTTTTTTCTTTCAGAATTTGGAGTTGTGTGCTTAATATTCTCTGCAACTCTAGCTTATTTCCCACCCCGGCCTCCTCTCCCTCCCAGTGTTGCTGCAGCTAGCCAGCGGCTGAGTTACCGGCGCAGCTTTTGCAGATTATTGAGGTAAATATATTTCGGGTCCCTGAAGTATTTGTGACTTCAGCATAACTCGTGTGTGTATGTGTACTGAACCTAGGTCATGTACGCTGAGCAACATCCTCAGCCTTTTATCTTTTATTTTGAGACAGAGTCTTACTAAATCTCTGAGGCTAGGCTGGAACTCCCATCCTCCTACCTCGGCCTCCTAGGGTGCCGGGATCACAGACACACATCCCTAGATTAATTTCATATTGTTTAAAGAGAACTGGAAATAGTAATTTTTTTACCTACTGTTAAGTGATAAAATACTAGCTAAATATTTTTATTACCTATAAAAAATCTATCTTGAAAAATGCACTCAAAAACAAAATTGCTGTAATTTTTGCCTTATTTATGTATCATCTATACTATCAAAGTTTTACATTGCTTAAATAATTTCTTTTATAAAGAAACTTATCAGGCTGGGTGTGGTGGCACATGCCTATAATCCCAGCACTCGGGAGGCTGAGGCAGGAGGATCACTGTGAGTTCGAGACCAGCCTGGGCTACATAGTGAGTTGCAAATCAGTCTCAACTACATAGTGAGACCCCGTCTCAAAAAAACCAAAAAAAAAAAAAAGAAAGAAAGAAAAGAAACTTACCAAACAATAGTGTCTGTGAAATTATGGGGTTTTAAAAAATGTTTTATATTTTCCCTAATATACAGATTATTTTATTCATTAAGTATCTGTTAATGCATACAAAATTAGCAGGTGCTATTCAGTATGTGAATTAAATAAATATCATTCTCAGATCACCTAGAATTTTCTCATGTACCCTCTGTAGACTCAGATTTTAAGAAACTTAAATGTATTACTTTATTGGTTAACTTAATTTAATTGTACCTCAGTCCACTCTCAAGGGCTCAGATGCCCCAGTACTCAACCTGATTCTTTGGAGATACAGAGAACTATTGATTATGGTTGGCTGTCGGGCTACTTGAATTTATCTTTTGAATATTTTTTTCCAGTTTGTTGTAATGAGTTTTTATTGATTCATCTGTAGCTATCTCTAGTTGGTTCTTTATTTGCTTGTTTTTCTCTCCCCCAAGATGGTAAATTGCTTTCAGCTAAGAGCTATGTCTTTGTATCTTCTATAGTAATACTGTCCAATAGGAATATAATTCAAGCCACATATGTAATCTTAAATCTTCTAGCAGCCTCATTAGAAAGAGTAAAACGAAACAAGTTAAATTAATTTTAGTAGCATATTTTATTCAACCTAGTATAGCTAGAATATTATCTTAACATGTGATCAATATTAAAAATGATTGAGACATTTAATATTCAATTGTGTAAAAAATCTGATATTCAGCATATATTTTACCTTTACAGCACATCTCACCTTGAACACTAAATTTTCATTGGAAATAGTTGATATATATAGAGAGAGAGTTCATTAAATTTAGTTAAAAAGTATCCATTAAATTACTTAATTAGTTAAAAAGTATTAATTTAGTTAAAAAGTATTTATTGTTTCCTATATTGCACTAAAATAAAATAAGTCATTACATTTTGAATTAACAGACCTTTGGTATTATAGGAAAGGTCTTACATTCTACAGGTAGTTGTCTGGAACTTAATTGAATGTCACTTTCTTAAAATGTAGCATTAGTCTTTTCTTCGTAATTAAAAAAAAATCATAGATTAAATTAACAACTTATTTTACCATTTCTTCATCAAAAATGATTTCTTTTGTGAGAAAAATCTAAACCATCTTATACCTGGCCAAAACCGTAAGTTCAGATCTGTCTGTTAAAAAAATATTTTGGAATGTCGTTGGATATTTTACTTTTTTGACTGTTGAGAAGAAACTTCACGTAAGACTCACCATATGTTTGCCGAAAACTTCTCTTACCACTACCTAGTGAAAAATTTTTCACAGCAAACATTTCACTTTGCTCTGCTGCAGCAAATTCCTGATGCTGTTCATTGTGAGATTCGCAACGTGCCTTTCTCCCTCCCAGTCTCTTGTTTTCTTTCTACATGGAATATTCAAATGTGCACATTAGAGTGCTGGGGAGAAGAAAATAATTAGAACCAAATCAGCCTGTTGTCACAGGAAGATCAGTGATAGGTAATAACCCTAGAAAACATGCACCCAGAATATAGACAGCTGGCAGAATGAAGCAATGCTAGCTACCTAAAGACAAAGGTTGTTTAATGAAAAAGTACTGCTTTCCGTTGCTTCTGTTTAAATTAGATCAGATGAGGAGATCATATTTAAAAATCAGTTCCTCAGTTGCATTGGCAACATTTCACTTGCTGTATGATATTATTTTTCAAAAATTTCAGTTCCCAGTGAGCTAATTAAGTGAGTTGAACCCAAATTTTTACAAACAATGTGAGGTGGAATAAAGTAGGACAGAAATTATTATTGTGTAGCATGTAGCAAGGATACATTTTTTTGTGAGACTTTTGTTTCGGTATATATAGATACGTGTATGTATAGGTTGGTCACAGAGTCAAAATAAATTTCTACTTCAGTAGTTTAAAACCACTTCTGTATAGTGCCTGGTATGTCGCCTTCCACATAATAGAGAAAAATAGTAACTAACTTGAATTTTGATCCATGGTACACATTTGTAATATGACAGTTTAAAATGTTAATTTTTTAAAAAATGTTATTTCACTGTTTTTCTCCCTGCAAAGCCTGCAGCAGAAGTGAGATATCAGTAGGTGAAGGAAGAGAGGAAGATTGACACCATATTATGCCACATTAATAACTTTGGACTATTCTCACCGAAAGAGGAGCTATTAAAAGGTTATTATTAAAGGTTTTTAAGCTAAGGAGTTATATACGAAATTGTTCTGACAGGAAAGAACAGTAACTTTAAATTACACCCTATGACAATCCTATATATATACTTCTAATTACCTGAGAATTAAGACCTTCATTCTGTTTGAACCATAAGGTCTAAGATCTTCGTTCTCTGTGAAAAGCCTTTTCACCAGTACCTAACGTCTTTTTGTCTCTCCAGTGCCTGTCTGTGCAGTTTGCACCGTTGCAGCCCCACCCTTGGGCTCTCTAGTGGAGTTCTTTGGGCCTGCCTTCCCTGACCTCCAGCCTACAATATAATCTGAATCTGCGCTGGTCTTTCAGAGAGTTCTTGAAATCATTACTTCTTGGAACACTCAGGATAATGACCTCTAAATTCTAATTCCATTGTCTGAGCAAAAAAAAAAAAATCAGTGTTTATGTTTCACCATAATTATGTTACTGGCCATGTGATTTGCCTTCTCAAAATGGGCTTTGAACCTTTGTAACCAATGTAAACATTGCTCTGCCTTTTTGACGATAATGGTTTTACTTTTTGCCTTGTGGACTTCAAGGTGAGAATAGTTGAACATGCTGATTACTTCAGGTCAAATGAAATCATTTTTTCATTCTTTTGTTCATGTTTCCTGTTCCCATTCCTCTCCCTACTGCCATTTTTCAAATGCCTTTAATGTGTGTCTCTTTATCTCTGTGCTTTATATATATAATATATAGATACAGTTTTGCATTTTCTGTTTAAATGATGGTATATCGGTCTTCAGAAAAATCACCTATATAATGTACATTTTTCATATATAATAATTTATAATCTATATTACACATAGTATCTTTTGAACACATTTTTGCTTTTTTTGTGGGGGGTACTGGGGATTGAACTCAGGGCCTTATGCTTGCCTGGCACTGTGCCACTGAGCTACACCCCCCTGCCCTTGAACACTTTTTTGACAGAGTATTATGTGGATTCTTTTAAACTTTCTATTCCAGAATGTTACAGTAATGCACAGGCTAGAATAGTATAACACCCCCATATCCCCATAACCCAGTGTCTACAGGTATTGTTGAGCAGCCAATCTTGTTTCGCCTTTGCGCTACCCACTTCCCACTTTCTTATATTATAAAGCACATCCTGGAGGACAGATCATTCCTTCCAGAAATATTTCATTATGTACAATATATGTTAAAATATAAGGACTCTTTTTAAACATTATGTCTACTGCCATTATCTTACCCCAAAACTTCTCTAACAATAATTTGCTAATACCAAATAAGTGTTTGAATTCTCTGTTGCCTCATAAATTTTCAACAGTTTGTTTGATTGGGATCCAGACTAGGTCCACATACTCCATTTGGCTCAAATGCTTTATAGCCTATGGACTTCTTTCCATCCTTTCTTTCTTTCTTTCTTTTCACTGTACTTTACTTATTGAGGAACCAGCTCTTTGAACCCCAGTGTCTGGATTTTGTTGATTGTCTGTTTGTGCAATTTGACAAATTCTCCTGTCATTTGTGCTTAACATAAGCTGTTACCCAGACAGTTTCTCTTTTTGCGTTTGTTTTTGTTTTATAAGACTGCTCCATCCGTGAGATTGCAGTTTCCTATAGGAGGTATATGGTCTCTGGAGAGCTCTCCTTTTGTGGTGTTGTTACTGTTTTCGAATATACCTCTATTGCTGTGTGTACACCTAATTCTTTGTACACAAAGTATTAATCTATCATATTTTATCTGTCTCTCCCCATTGTGTACCCAGATTGCCTCCATTTCATTGTTGCCAAAACACCTCAGTGTGACACCCTCACGTGTATCACCATAAATCCAAGGATTTCTTAGGGAAATAGACTCTGCAGTAGGATTTCTAGGTCATAATACAGTTTAAGTTTAAGTTGCCAGTTATTGCTGAATTGCTCTCAAAAGTGCCCACTGGACTTGGCACTTTCCATCTTTCCAGTCTTTGCCAATCTAATGGGTATAAACTAATATATTTATTTAATTTGCATTTTGTGATTATTAATTGGTTTTAGAGACTCATTATTTTATTATTAGCTTTATAGGTTTCATCAACTGTAAAATTACTGTTCATAGCTTCTGTTCTTTTTTTTTAAACTAATTTCTTGTTTTATTGAGCTGCAAACATACAATTTTTGTTTGTTTGTTTGTTGGTACCGGGGATCGAACCCAGGACCTTATACTTGCAATGCACCACTGAGCTACATCCCCAGCCCATGTCTTACTGAGTTTTTAAAGTTCAAAATTCTACTTCCAGTCTGCTATCTACCTAATAATTTTTCCATGGGTTGGTTAATTGTTAATTTTTGGCTTTTATCTTTTACATCTAGGTTTTCATCCCACCTAGAATGTCCCTTAATATATGATGTTAGCTAGTGATGTAGGAGTGTTTTTTCTTATAAAGTGAGCTAGTACCATTTATTAAACATCCTTAGCACTTTGATTTTCAGTGCCATCTTTATTATGTCTTGAATTTTTGTGTTGTAGCACTCTGTTCTTCTCCATTGTTCTTTTTGTTCTTGAGCCAATACCACACTCTTTTATTACTCAGGCCATGCAGTCTGTTTTAATATCTGGTAGGTAGGACAAGGTCTTTCTTCTTCATCTTTTTTATAGAATGACTTAACTTTTTAATAACTTTTATTCTTCCATATAAATTTCCAAGTAAATTTTGGAGCACATTTCTTGCATTTTTAGGAAAAATACAACTGGGATTATAATTGTGATTACATTGCATTTATAGATTAATTTGGAATGCATTGACAGCATAGGCTGTCTCTACATGTATTTGTTTTGTTTTGTTTTTTTGTACCGGGGCTTGAACTCAGGACATTGTGTTTGCAAGGCAAGAAGCAAAACCATTGGGGTAAATCCTCGGCCCTCTACATATATTTGGATTGCCTTTGTCTCCTTAATTAAATGAAAAATTGCTTTGTTGTTTTTCATTGAAGTCCAATGCTTTCCTAATTTATTCCTAGATACTTTATAGTTTTCTTTTTCTTTTTCTTTTTTTTTTCTTCCATTACTGGGAATTGAACTCAGGACCTTGTACTTGCCAGGCAGGCACAGGGCTGCTGAGCTATATTCCTGGCCCTACTTTATAGTTTTTAAAAGCTATTTTGAGTAGTATCTATTTCCATTATATTTTTAAATTAAACTTTTTAGGATGATCATGTATTTATAGAACAGTATAAGAAAAGATAACATGTACTCTTTCCTGTTTCTCCCAGTGAGAATCTCAACCAAAATACCAATAGCATCTACCTCACAGAATTAGAGAAAACATTCCTAAAATTCATTTGAAACCAGAAGAGACCTAGAATAGCAAAACCAATTCTGGTCAACAAAGGCGGGGGGGGGCATCATAATCCCTGACCTGAAATTATACTACGCAGCTACTAAGATAAAAGCACCATGGTACTAGCAAAATAAAAAAGAAATCGATCCAAGAATCAATGAAACAGAATAAAGATGTGGAAACAACTCCAAACACACTCAGCCACCTTATCTTTGTTTTGGGGTTTTTTTTGTTTGTTTGTTCTAGTTTTTGTTTTTTTGTTTTCTGGTACCAGGAATTGAACTCAGGATCTTGCACTTGGCAGACAGGTGAGGTGCCACTGAGCTATATCCCTGGCTCTGCCACCTCATCTATTTTTTTAAATTTTTTTTCTTTTTATTGAGTTTATTGGTACAATCTAGGTATACAGTACAGTTACATTCATCATTGGGATTCTGTACCTTTACATAATAGGTCTTGATTCTCATTTTTTCCCCTTGTCCCTGCCCTCCCTTCACCCCCTCCTCCCCTCCCCATTTACAAACACTTTATTTCCATTTTTTCAGTTTCTCATATTTTTTTCCTCTCCCTTATTACCTTTCCCCATTCCTCTCCCTTATTACCCTTCCCCTACCCTTCCCACTTTCCCTACACCTTTAGCCCTTTACTTCCTATTTCACATTATTAATTGTCTCATTAGGATCCTGTGTACTATTATAGTTTTTCACACCAAAGAAACTATTCAGTATTTCAGTTAAAGAAATCTTTGTATGAACATTAAAAATAGGGAATCCTAAAATAAAACTAAAAAGGAAAGTAAAAGAGAAAAGGCAATGATGTGACCACTGTGGAAATCAGTGTAAATATTCCTCAAAAAACTAGGACTAGTGGTTCCATTTGACCCAGCTATCCTTCTCAGTATTTTCCTGAAAGAATTAAAAGTATCATACCACAGTGATATATGCATGCCCATGTTCATAGCAGCACAGTTTGTAATAGCTAAAACTTGGAAACAACCATCAACCAATGAATGGATAAAGAAGATATGGGGGGTTTTATGCAACGGAGTACTACTCAGCCATAAAGAAGGTTAAACTTGAGACAGTTATTAAATGGATGCACCTAAAAATCATACTCTTAAGTGAGCTAAATCAGACACACATTTGTAAATATCACATTGTTTCTCTGGTTTAAGAAACTGAAAGTATAAATGTATAATAGATATTGTGTAGTAGGAAGAAAATGTCCAAATGGGAAGGGGCACAACAGAAGGTGGAAAGGGAAAGGAAGGAAGGAGAAAGAAAAAAATGAGAAAAGAAAAATAAAATGGAAACAAAGCTCTTATAAATGAGAAGAAAGGTAAAAGGGAGGGGAGAGGAATGGAAAAAAAATAGGATCAAGATATATCCTATACAGGTACATATTCAATATAATGAATATGATCATTGTGTATATTTAAATTATACCAATAAACTTAATGATAATAAACAACTTACTGACTACTCAATGTATGAAGTAATGTTGATAAGTAAACAAAAAAATACTAAAGTAAACACTGGCAATTTTAAGTAATATAAGAAAATAATTATTCTTTTTTTTTCAGCTTTAATTGAGTTTATTGGTACATATTAGGGATACAGTACAGTTACATTTATTGTTGGGATCTTGTACCTCTATATGACAAGTCTTCATTCTCATTTTTTCCCCTTACCTCTGCCCTCCCTTCACCCCCTCCTCCCCTCCCCATCTACAAACACTTTATTTTCATCTTTTCATTCTCTCACATTTTTTTCTTTTCCCTTTTTACTCTTCCCCTACCCATCCCACCTTGCCTACACCTTTAGTTCCTTTCTTCCCATTTCCAAATGTCAGTAATCTTATTAGAATCTTATGCATTGTTGCAGATTATTCACACCAGGGAAACTATTCGGTATTTACACATGTGTGACTTACTTATTTCACTTAGGAGTATATCTTCAATATGCATCCATTTTCCTATGAATGAATCTATTTTCTCGTTCTTTATGGCTGAGTAATATTCCATTTTATAGAAAAACCACATCTTCTTTATCCAGTTTCCAACGGATGGGCAAATGGGCTGTTTCCAAGATTTAGCTATTACAAACTGTGCTGCTATAAACATGGGTGCACATACTTCTCTGTGATATGATTCTTTTAGTTCTCTTGGAAAGATACCCAGCAGAGGGATGGCTGGGTCAAATGGAACCTCCAGTCCAAGCTCTTTGAGGTATCTCCATATTGATTTCCATAGTGGTTGCACCAGTCTGCACTCCCACCAACAAATGATTATTCTTATACAAATAAAAAATTTAAAGGAACTTGAATATATTAACAAACTGAAAAATTGTTTCTGATTCTAGTATTTCCAGTTTCATTTTTCATGAAAAACAGCTTAAATTCTAGATTGTGAATTTGTAATGTTTTATCTCACTTTTTTCTTATAGCAACTTGAGATTTTTGATGATTGCTTTAGCATACGCTATCCCTCTTGGTGTGTTTGCTGGTTGGTCTGGAGTTCTCGACTTAATTTTAACACCAGTGCATGTCAGTCAAGTAAGTATTTTAGTTATTTGTAATAGGTTCATTTAATTTATAAATACTAGTTATATGTTCTTGATTAAGCTTCAAATAGGTAGAACATTGTCCTGAATCATTGTTGCAAAAGCAAGGTTCTTATGGAATGGATAAAAACTTGGTAACAGAGCTCGGCATGGTAGCATAATCCTTGTACTGGGGAAGCTGAGGTAGGAGGATCACCATGAGTTCAAGTCAGCCTGGGTTACGTAGTAAGTCCAAGGCCAACCTGAACTACATTTTTAAAAAAACTTGATGACAGACATGATTTTATTATTCTTTTGGTACTATTAATAATGATGCTAATAAAAAAAATAATAATGATGCTAATAAATAGAAGATGAAAAATATTACTGTAGTTGACTACATCATTTATTTTCAAACTTCATAAAGAAGTTTGACCCCATTATCAAATATATTACTCTTCCTGCATCTAATTTCTTGCTTTTTCTCTGGTCTCAGAAAAAGGTTATCTCATTTCTTTAAAAACAAACATTTCAGTACTTACCTGGCAGGGGGGATACCATGATCATGAAGGTGATTTTCCCAGGGCGAGGCTCATCCTTTGCATTTTGGAGGTGCTGACCCCTGCAATTTTCCCAAATGCGGGAAACTCGACTGCATGATTTATGGTGTGCCTGCGGGCTGCATTCACGCTTTACCCTAAAAAACAAAACAACCATTTCACCATGCTTGGTACCATCTATTCCTTATCTTTGCTTCCATATAACATAACAGGAAGGGTGGACAAAGATTTAGAGGAGTGGGTGAGATGAATTTCCTGGTGGGACAGATCCTGTTATATGAGTATATGGGCTGTCTGTTCTACGTTTGATGAACCATTGAATTATTTTGACCAACACAAATAGTGAGGTGTTAATGCTCTCATACCTGTCTCATATGCCTCCCTTAGAATCTCTGTTGGATGTACATCTAGGAATGGAATTGCAGGTTATTAGTGTCTTCTTACCTTGATGGTGAGGCCAAGTGTGTCCAAAGCAGTTCATTCATTTACAAATCCACCAGCCATATGTGAAGGTTCTTGTTGTTCCCCATCATGACCAGCCCTTGGTCATGTGATAATGTTATTTTTAAACATTTTAGACATTTATGGCTATGCATTTGTATGCCATTATAGTGAGTAATGTCAGTCCTAACAGATGTAATATATCTTACTGATACTTAAGCAAGAGAGCTGTGGAGAAGAAAGATCCCCAGAAGATTTTGTGGGGACCCCAGTAATTTCTGACTGATAAATGAGCCCATTTACAAAATATTTATATCAGGGCAAAGCTGCTAGAGGCTTAACCTGGGAGGCTACCTTGGGGTTGAAAACAGAAGAAATACAGTAGAGATCAAGCAGTGTCTTGGAGTTCTGGCGCAACTAATATGGTGCTACCTCATTACACTTGATTAAATCTTTCCCTCCTGCTAAGACACTTGGAAAGCCAAACTCTAGAATCAGGCACCATGCCCTGGGTAGCGTAAGTCCTACTCTAATTAGACCCACCATAAAGAAAGCCTAAATCAAGCCCTGCAAAACTCTACAGAGGAGACAGTGTGGAGCCTGATTCCTCCAAGTGAGAGGGGCTAGAGAAACACCTCAATTTCTACTTATCTACTCTAATACAGCGCAAAGCCAGCCTATGCAGTCAAATTCAGAATGATCAGCCAGCAATTGAACTGCCTACTAGAACAGCAGTCAGCCATTTTAAGGAAATATAAAAGTATCTAAATCTCCACATTTATCATCCACAACTTACAAAATACAGTTTTTAAAAAACACTAGACATGGGAAAAATACAGGAAAGTATGACCCATATTTTAAAAAGTATCAGCAGAAACCAGCTGTTAGTCTGGATGTTGGATTTAACAGGTGGTCTGTAATGCAAAAAGGATTTTTAAAGTTGTACTTGCTTTAAATTAGTTAGTATATTTCTCTGTGTTATCTTGTGCAACTACATTGTCCAGTACAGGAGCCACTAGCTACATGTGACTGTTTAATTTGAAATCAGTTGAAATGAAATAAAAGTAAAAATTTTCTTCCTGCACTAAATCAAACCTGTCATGGTATATTACACATTTTATATATCATTGGATTAGTTTACTCATTTTTTGCTGTTAAACTCATGAATGAAAGTGGTATAATTTTTCTTTCTTGACCTATTCTTGTTAATTTTAATAGCCAGACTTTACTGGTCTTAAAGAGCAGTTGGAGAAATAGTCCCTCCTTTTCTATTATTAGACAGTTTATGTAAGATTGATGGTTTTGATCTTGGGTTTTTCCTAAATATTTGATGGAGTTCCCTGATTATCTGTTTTTTTAAATTAAAATATTTTAAATATAGATTCAGTTCCTTTAATAGTTACAAAATTATTCTGATTTCACATTTGTCAGTTTTGGTAAGTTGTACATTTCTGTAATTTGTCTATCTCATTTTCAAATTTATTGGCAAGGGCTGGGGATTTAGCTGAGCAGCATTACACCTGCCTTGCAAGCACAAGGTCCTGAGTTTGATCCCTGGTACCAAAAAAAAAAAAAAATTTATTGGCAAAAAGTTCTTCAAAGTGTCTGTCATCTTATGATTTTATTGGGTCTCCAGGGTAAGTCATTTTGAGATGCTCCTCATCCATTTCTTCTCTCATTTTTTTCCTTGAACAATTTCACCAGAGGGTTTTTATTGAATGCTTTTTTTCCTATTTTATTGATTTCTGCTTTTATCTTTAGACTTTTCTATTCTGTCCCCCCCACCCCGGGAAGTTGCTGTGCTCTTTTTTCTAATATTTGATAAAAGATCCTTGGCTTTTAACTTTTATAATATATTCATTTCAAGACTACACATTTCTTGTTAAACACAGCTTTTGCTTTATCCCATAAATTTTACTAAGGACTTTTTCATTATTCAATTTAAAATATTTTCTAGTATCTATAATGATTTCTTCTTTGAACCATGGTTTGTTCCCAAGGAAATTTAATCTACAAATTGTTGAAGATTCTCCAGTTCCTTTATTTATTTAATTTTTTTCCTATCTAACCTGCCTAATTGTGGTCATAGGATATATACCTTTTTATTTCAGTATTTTCAAATTTTTGGACATAATATATGGTCAATTATACCCTACAATTCTTAGGTGTACTGTTTTATATGTCAAGTAAATCAATACTGTTAATTATGTTCACATTTTTATTTTTGTCTGGTTGTTCTACCAGTAGATGAGAGAGATGTGTTAAAATCCTGCACAATTATTATGAACTTGTCTATTTCTCTCTTGTTTTATACAAGTGTTCACAATATATGTTTTAAGAAATATGGAATTAGGTACACATGAATCTAGAGTTGTTGTAACCTGCCAGTGAGTTATCTCTATGAAATATTTTTTATTTCTTTTTTTTTCTCTCATTGAGTTTATTGGTACATTTTAGGTATACAGTACAGTTACATTCATCATTGGGATCATGTACCTTTACATGACAGGTCTTGGTTCTCATTTTTTCCCTTTGTCCACCCCCCCCCCTTCCCCCCCTCCTCCCCTCTTTTTTTTTTTTTTTTTTTTTTTTTTTTTTTTTTTTTTGGTACCGGGAATTGAACTTGGGTCCTTGGGCTTGCAAGGCAGGCCACAGAGCCGCTGAGCTAAATCCACGGCCCCCCTCCTCATTTACAAACACTTTATTTCCATTTTTTCATTTTCTAATATTTTTTTCTTTTCCCTTATTATCTTTATCCTCCCCTTCCCACTTTCCCTACACCTTTAGTCCTTTTCTTTCTATTTCACATTGTCAATTATATCATTAGGATCTTATGTACTATTATAGTTTTTCACACCAGATAAACTATTCGGTATTTACACATGTGTGACTTATGTATTTCACTTAGGAGTATATCCTCAATATGTATCCATTTTCCTATGAATGAATCTAATTTCTCATTCCTTTTTTTAATTTTTTTTTGTACTGGGGATCGAAGTCATGCCCTTGTGCTTGTGAGGCAGGTGCCAAAACCACTGAGCTAAATCCCTGGCCCTAATTTCTCATTTTTTATGGCTGAGTAGTATTCCATTTTATAGAAAAACCACTTCTTCTTTATCCAGTCTCCAACTGATGGGCAAATAGGCTGCTTCCAAGTTTTCACTATTACAAACTGTGCTGCTATAAACATAGGTGTGCATATATCACTGTAATATGATTCTTTTAATTCTTTTGGAAAGATACCCAGCAGAGGGATGGCTGGGTCAAATGGAACCTCTAAACCTAGTTCTTTGAGGTATCTCTATATTGATTTCCATAGTGATTGCACCAGTCTGCACTCCCACCAACAATGAAGAAGGGTTCCTTTCTCCCCACAACCCCGCCAACATTTTTTATTGGTTGATTTCTTGATAGCAGCCATTCTTTCTGGGGTGAAGTGGAATCTCAGTGTTGTTTTCATCTGCATCTCTCAAATGACCAGTAATGTGGAACATTTTCAGTTTTTGGCTAAATTATTAAATTCATCATTAGTGAGTTTTAATTCTTGTATTTTTGTTATAAAACTTTGATTTGGTTCTATTTATTTATAAGTTTCTGTGGAAATGCTTTCTCTTTTTTTTATCTATTAAAAAAAATAACTTCTTAAAAGTCTATATCTCACCATTACATAATCTGTATCCCCTTGTGTTTTTGGTGTTCATTCATCTTTTCTTTTTAATGCATTCAGCAATTTTTGACTGATACATGAGAAGTTACAGAACTGATTTAAGCTTTAAGATGATGTCATTTTCCTCTAGAAAGAACGTATGTTTGTCCTGGTTGGAGCCTAGGGATAACATTAATTTAGTTTCAGAGATTGAGATTGTTTAAATTGGGGCTTTAATGCTGAAATAAATTGAATACTGAAAGAGCAGAATGCTGTTCAATTTGCAGTGTCCCCCTACTGTGAAGGTATAGCCCTTCAGAATGCCCAAGTCTGGGGTTTTTACAAGGCCTCCTCACCCAACAGCAGGCACCAAACTCATAGTTTTTTCCTTTCCTAGGTGAATGGGGCTGTCAATCCTTCATAGTTCTTAGCCACATTTTCTGAAATTAGCAGGCACCCCTAAAGGAACACTGTCTCCACTTATGAGACATACCTCTCTGGGTTCCATCCCATCCTAGGTCATGGCTCTGTAATCTGGATTACCTTGTGGGCTGTGTCTTGACTTCAGATTTCATCACAGATTTTCTAGTTGTCAGTCAGAAAACTAACCCAAATTACCCAGTGTATTTGTTTTAGTCCATGCAGGCTGCTGTAGCAAAATACCTTAAGCCATGGATTTGATAGCAATAGAAGTTTATGTCTCACAGTTGTGAAGCCTGAGAAGTCCAAAATCAAGGCCCAGCAGACATGGTGCCTGGCGTAGGCTCACTCTGTGTATCGAGGCTGCGACTTCTTGCTGTGGCCTCTGTTATAAGGGCACTCCCTTCATGAGGGCACAGGTTGCAGGATTGATTCACCTCTGCTAGCCCTCCCCTTAATAATGTGAAGTTAAGGATGAGTCCCAACACATGAATTCTGGAAGGACACCAACCTTTAGCCCATAGCAGTACCTTTACCATAAAAAGATAACTTTCCTTTCATTTCTGACCTACTTTTCTGGGTGGCAGTTTTCCCAAATGTGCTCAATTCTAATGAGGAAGAGCACAGCAACTATTTAAATGGTGGTGATTTTGTGTATCTATGCTTTGTATTGAAAACCCTCTAAGTATCTTTCTCTGTACAAAGCTGAAGACACACAAAGACCATGAATCAAACCAGGTATTAAAGTGAAATTAAAAATTAAATGAAAGCAAGAAAATTAAAGCAAAGTTTTAATTATTGAGTAGAATGTTATTAACTAAAGTGAATACTTTGAACAAAGGAAACAGAAAATCACAAACTGGCCTAAAAGGACCCTTATCAGTACAGCCAGATGCACGGCTGCCCTTAGTCTGTCCCCACTCACCCAGGGGACAGATGGAAATGCCTGTGGGGCTTCACTGCATTACAGATAAGCTTTGGACATCGGGCACTGAAGGCCCTGTGATGCATTCCTGGAGAACAGAGTCCTCTTGCCACAGGTGCCAGTGGTATGAAAAACTAGAGACGATATAGGCCTCAGGATGTTATCTTTCTCCAAAGACATTTATATATGTGTGTTTGCTTCTAGTTCCAAATACAGGTAGAACAAAAGGCTTGCATGCAGTCACTGTATTACTTATAGTAGGCTGAGCTGCTATAAGAAGTAGACTCCCCCAATTTTGCCATTTTAGAAGAAGTTTATTTCCTTTCACTTAAAGGTATAGGACAGTATGCATAGTCCAGGGCAGTTGGTCATAGTTTGGAGGACTGTTTTCCTCTTGTTGATGGAGAATTCTGGGCTGCTTTCACCTTGCTTGCAGCCGTTCTGTCCCCTGGACCTTGTTTTTATGTGCATGGGAGCAGCTAGATGACCACATCAACTGCAGGTGGTGGACAGGGAAAGCACACGACTGTCTTCTGCAGTCTAACCTGGAGGGGGCATACCTCACTTCTGCTCACATCCAGTAGTGAGAACTTAGTCGCAGGGATACGTACGATACCTCACTTCTGCTCACATCCAGTAGTGAGAACTTAGTCGCAGGGATACGTACGCCAGCTAAGTACTCAGGTGGAGAATGATATCCACTGGGCAGTTAACAATCCCTGTCACATGAGTAATGAAAAGTATGACTCAAAAAGTAATAAAAAGTAGAAGTTAGTTTGGGCTATCAAGTACCAGGTCAAACTAGGACTTCACTCTGTAGCCAGCTACTGGAAGGAAGGCCAGCTACTGTGTCTGAACAGGGAGATGGAATGCTGAGGATACATCTTTTGGCCTTAGAGGGCAAACTTCACTCTGTAGCCACAAGGAATGCCAGCTACTGTGTCTGAACAGGGAGATGGAATGCTGAGGATACATCTTTTGGCCTTAGAGGGCAAAATAGATTGTGAAGACCGTTTCAGAAGCATAACAAGAGTCCAGGAGTAAGAAATAAAGTGATAACCCAGTGTGGTAGTAGGGAAGAGAAAGAAGAAAAATGCACCAATATTGTTAGGGACACACAGAATTTCAGTGATAACAGAAATTGACATGAATTGAGCACTTCACACTTGCTAACTTATTTAATCCTCGAACATTCTTCATTTTCTTCCTTCCACTAATGAAGAAAACTGAAATTTAGAATATAAGCTGTGAAAGAAGGCGAGTGACAATAAGAGTTAGAAATAGATGAGTGATGAGGAAGTATGCATTTTAGATTTTTCTGAAAAGGATCTGGCCATATCAATACATTTTTATATAATGCCAGGTATTTTAGCTCCTAAATTAGTTCCTAATAGTTTCATTTATGTTGGTGATACGTAAACTTTTTGAAATCAGGGACCATCTTCTGTCCTTCTCCCACTGTCCTAAGAGGCCAAGTGCAGTGTAGCACATGCCTAAAAATATTTGTTTTGTGACATTGATTACTTTGATTTAAGTATTCCAATAAAAAGTTAATCAAGGGCATAATTATATGTGTGTATGAATAGTTAAACTTGAATCCTTTCATTCCATCTATTTTCTTAAATAATATTTCCTAGATCTCTTGCCTTTTAGCTGTTACATATTGATCATTGAGAATTTTTTATTTCTTCTAAACAAAAGTCTTCCATTAACTGTGTCTGCTCCTTTGTTAACAGGTAGACGCTGGCTGGATTGGATTTTGGTCCATAGTTGGAGGCTGTGTTGTTGGAATAGCTATGGCAAGGTGAGGATATTTCATATCAAACATGTGAGAGCACAGAGTGGGGCCAGAGTCTAAAGAGAAATAGGTTCCCTTCAATAAACATTCAAATTCAGGGGAAAGTCCAGCAAGCTGTCAGAAAAGGGCTCTGTTCAGGCTAGAAGAAATTCACGTGCAGTAGATAGACATGGCTGCTACAAAAGACTTTCTCAAGTGTGGCCCTTCCTAAAGTGTATTCCAGTGCCATGAAGCTGCCTCTTTAATCAGTAGTTAACAAGTAGTTAATCAAATCAGTAGTTAACAAGAATTTAGAAAGGAGCTGAACCCTTAATGAGAACATCACTAGAAGTTCCCATGAAGAAGCAGTCTCCTGATTGGCAGGTTTTTACTTCTGGTTACTTCCCTATGGTTGTCGCATTTGGATGAAAAATGTCCATGAAGGTTTCCAGTTTCATCAGACTTCCTTTGATCTGAACCTGTTGTGGCAGTAACTTTTAGCATAAATCAGAAGGAAAGGGGTTTCATTTATTCTAAAGAAGAATGAAAATGTCACTCTTGTAGGTGACTGCCTATCAAACTACTCTTAGTGTTTTCAAAGAGATAATATTCATTCACTCACCAAGTCATTTTACCCTGTTTAATAATTAAAAATAAAAAAGCAATCAACTTGAGTAGGAGAGGAGAATCCAATTACATATTTGAGGAGATTGAATATGATAATGTAAATCACCTAAATATCTTAAGACTTAAATATAAATGATACAGGAAAATAAACTGTTGCCATAGTGTTCCTGGGATAATGAAAGAATAAACTTGTGCTAACTTCTAAATCCCTTTCTTTGAGGTTTCTGTAAGTTAGAAAAACATAAGAATAAAATTTAAAAGCTAAAGAACCAGAGTGGGAAAATATTATTTGGAGGAAAACATTTCACTGATACTGAAATACACTGATGTGTCACATTTTGATAAGAATCACACCTAATTTTTCTAATTAAATCTCCATGCCAATTATAGTGAGTCATCACTGATCAATACTTTTCTGAACACCAACTAGGTCGAAGAAGGAACCATTATGTATCATAAATAACATCCCACAGCTCCTTTCTCTTCCGCTTTCTTTCTATAGCCACTTAATTTTAAACTATATATAGATACAGTTTGATGGGAAAATAACAAGGAGAACATTTCTTCTTTTTGATCATTGAAATGGAAATACTAAAAAGTACTTTGCTTACTCTGTGATAAGAAACCAGTGGTAAGAATTTCTTTAGCTTAAAATCAATTTTAAGTTATTTTTCATGACATCATTTTTTGAGAATTCCCTAGAATGGATTCTCCTCATGGACATGTGTACTCTGGGTAAGTGTTTTGTAATTATGTTGCTAAAAACCTGTGTTCAAGAGGGCTGCGGATTTAGCTCAGTGGTTCCGCTGTCTGCCTCTCAAGCTCAAGAGTCCTGAGTTCAATCCCTGGTACTGCCTTGTAGGTCCTAACACAATTAAGTTATTTTTCATGACATAATTTTTTGAGAATTCCCTAGAATGGATTCTCCTCATGGACATGTGTACTTTGGGTAAGTGTTTTGTAATTATGTTGCTAAAAACCTGTGTTCAAGAGGGCTGCGTATTTAGCTCAGTGGTTCCACTGTCTGCCTCTCAAGCTCAAGAGTCCTGAGTTCAATCCCTGGTACTGCCTTGTATAAGTTATTTTTCATGACATAATTTTTTGAGAATTCCCTAGAATGGATTCTCCTCATGGACATGTGTACTTTGGGTAAGTGTTTTGTAATTATGTTGCTAAAAACCTGTGTTCAAGAGGGCTGCGTATTTAGCTCAGTGGTTCCACTGTCTGCCTCTCAAGCTCAAGAGTCCTGAGTTCAATCCCTGGTACTGCCTTGTAGGTCCTAACTGCTCTGATGCTATCAGCACATTGGAAAAGACAGGGTGCTCCAAAGTAGCATAGCTGTGTGGCATAGCACATGCCTGTGATCCCAGCACTCAGCAGGCTAAGGCAGAAAGATTGCAGAAAGTTCAAGACCAACCTGAAATATGCAATGAGACACTGTTTCAAAAAACAATCAATCAAGGGCCAACCACACCAGTAATCTCTGTGCTCTTGCCTTGAGTTTGAGGCCAGCCAGAGCTGTGTAGTGAGTTCAAGGACAGCCTGAACAACATAGGGAAATCCTGTCTGAAAAAAACAAAACAACAAACAAAAAAAAGAAAAACAAACAGGGGCCAACTGTGGTGGTATACACCTGTAATCCCAGCACTCAGAAGACTGAGACAGCATTGCTATGAGTTTGAAGCCAGCCTGAGCTAAGTAGTGAGTTCAAGGCCAGCCTGATCTCCATAGAGAGACCCTGTCACAAACAAACAAACAAAATAGCAGACCACAGTGGTCAGCTTATTGATCAGGTTCTGATAAATTTTATTATAGTACAACTCTGAGTTGTACCAGAAAGCTATTTTAATCTCATACCCCCCCCCGCCTATCTGATGAGGAAGTTTATGCAGCATGCCTAAGTGTAAACTAGAAGTGTGTTTCCTAAACTTGGAATTACAAAAGAGTGTTCTGCATTGTCATGAGGGGCATTTCTTTCAAGCTGGAGAACCTTTTTCAGAGTATGTAAAATTTTCTGCTTGTAAACTTTCATAGATAAAAACAAGCATCACTGAGCAAAAGTACATCTATTTTCCCACCAAAAGATGGCGTCAGCTCCCATAGGAAGTCATCTGACACTACACGATGATGCTAGCGTGATTTACCTTATCATGTCAGATAAGTACAACACAAAGGATAGTACTGAAAGTGTTCGAATGACAGCCACATAACGATACAAATTACAGTCAATCTTTAAAAACTCAAAATGGAGAGAACATAGTAAATGTTATATTGGGAATGGGATTGATTTTTCTATAACGAGCAATTCTAAAGGACAGAATAAATTATGTACAGGTACAGCTAGAGGATTGTGCTTTATAGAGTCAACAACCTGCATGTGAGGAAAAGTGATCGGAAAATAGAAAAATATTTGGTATGCCTTTTAGTTTCATGTTGATTCAGAATGTTAGTGATTTTGAGACCTTAGAATGCTATAAAAGTCCTTGGATTTAAAGAAAAATACCCAATATTGTAGCTGCCGTATTCTTGTGCTCAGGAAGCTTACAGTCTGGTAGGGAAGATGAAAACGAAGCAGATGCAGAATTATGACAGTTTCCAGGGCAAAAGAGTGCACTGCAGAAGTAAAATAGAATGTGGAGAGCTGAGGGAGTGGAGACATAGGCAGGAGTGGGCCATGTGAGGTCCTAGGGTACCAGCATTCCAGCCGGTTGGGGCAAGTGGAGGGCCACTCAGAGCTGTTGGGGGCAGGCTTAGCACTCGTGAAAACAGAACCACGCCATCAGCAAGGGGAAGAAGAAGAGAGGCAGGACCAGCTCACACAGGGCCACAGAGGCCGTGGGGTAGGCATTTGTGTCCTCTGAATTTCAGTTTGGGGAGGGTCAACTTTGCAGGTTTGTGTCAGTATCAGCCTGTTGTCTAAGATTTGGATGTATATTTGAGAAAAGGTAACATCATGAACACAAAATTTGTCAGCTCAAAAGCCTAAATATAAAAAAATTTATAACTAGCTACTAAAAGAATGCATGGAAAATTCTTCAGTTAGCAGTTGTTTAATGGAATTTGTGTCCCTAATTTAAATAACATTTGAAAATCCAACTGGAATTAATAGACCATTGTTTCCTCTCAGGTTTGCGGATTTTATCCGGGGTATGCTGAAACTGATCCTCCTCCTCCTCTTCTCTGGGGCTACACTGTCCTCCACGTGGTTCACCCTGACCTGTCTGAACAGCATCACACACCTGCCTTTGACCACAGGTGAGAACAAGCTGTTTTTCAGCTGTGAGTAGAATATTTTCAGTTTACAGAAGTACAAGTATACATATTCTGACACTAGAGCATTTTCTTGCTTTCTACAAGTAATTGTTAAATTCATAAAAAGGTTTCCCTTCTCCAATCATCCCATGTAAAAAGAGCCCAAGAAAAAAGTAAAAATATTTTAATTGGCATTTTATGTTTGGAAAAGAAGTAAAGTCTTTGGCTTAAACTCATATAGCATGGAAAAACTTATTCACGTAAAATTTATATCAAAGCTTGCCATAGTGGTGCATACCTTTAATCCCAGCACTGGGGAGGCTGAGGCAGGAGGATCGCCATGAGTTTGAGGCCAGCCTGGGCTACATAGTTAGTTCAAGGACAACCTCAACTACATAGTGAGACCCTGTCTCAAAAATAAATTAATAAAACAAAATTTATATCAGAGCATAATACGAGGATTTTTATCTTGCTTATAACCATTACATCATTAAACAGTGAGGAAAAGGCAAAAAGCTATGACATTTAGAGCATACTTCAATAAAACTCTTTGAATCAGTACCTCTAAGTTTATTTTATATCTAGTTTTATTGCATTATCATTACAGAAAGTGGAAATACTTGTTGAAAGTATATGATAGTCAGATTATTTAGCTCGTCTAATTGATCCGAAACATTTGTAGTTGCTGGGGTTTGGTTTGGTTTTTTGTTTTTTATTTTTATTGTATTTTTTTGTAGTTTTGTTACTGTTCATCAGGGTCTGCATTGTTCTGTTTCTGTTATAAGTTGCATAAATGTAGTGACTTAAAGCAACATAATTTTACAATCTTCTTCAGTAGGCTACAAGGAGACCCACCATGGCCCTCACTGGGCTAAAATCAAAGTGTGGGAGACTTGAGGGTAGAGTCCACTTCCTTTCCTCTTCTAGTTCCTAGAGGTTGCCCTGCTCCTTGGTCTGTGCAGGCCACATCCTCTTCAGACACGGTCGCAGGCGCCCCTCCCGCAGTCACATCTCTCTCTGCACTCTTCTCTCCACTCCCCCATTCACTTTGTGAATCTTGGTCTTCACATTCAGCCCACCCAGATAATCCAGGATAATGGCTCCCTTTTAAACTCAGCTGATTGACTAGCAACCCTAATTCCATCTCAGCCTTAATGTTCACAAATTCCAGAGATTAAGACTTGAACATCTTTGGGGGACAGAAGCATTACTCTTCCTATGCAAGATACTTTTTAAATTACCATGATAGGTTATTTTATAAACCAAGGAGACTGTTATTGCATTTTCCTTTCTTTTAACTATACTGCTTAAGGTGCATATTATTCAGCCACCTTGTGAATTATATGCTTAATTATAGGCTTATTTTTTTAACAAAAGCAGAGCGTAGCACTGTTGTAACAAGCATTCTGTATGAGTAGGGTAAATAAGAGTCCGAAAGTAGCTCTGTAGGTGTCTATGAGAAGGAGGGCTCCTTTTGTCCCCACGTAACAGGAATACTGTGTACCCCACCCCCATGTGATCTCTGTACTCTGTAGTAAAAGAACTGGCAGTTTACACGTCCGAGGTGTCATATCTTTAAAGTGGGCCATTTATTTGGGTGGTGCTGCCACTTGTACAGGGATAGTAGACCTAGACAGAAGGGTGAGCCAGGGCCATGGTGGGTCAGCCTCCCTGGAGGACCATGGGAGCTCTCCGTCTGTCAGAGGGGCTCGACATCTGATAGATACCGTTGAGCCTCCCATTCAGGGAAGGTCCAGTGTCAGCCAGAGACTGTGGCACATTCTTTTTGATCTTCGCAAAGTTAATTTTCAGCGTTTGCTGTGATAAAAGCAAATACTGCACAAAATGAGCATGGAACAGTGAATGAGGGTGATGGTTTTCAATCAACTCCAAATTGAGTCATTGCATGGTGCCCATAAGATGCCCATACCCCATTAGTAAGTAACTGTAGTCATTTAAGAGTGGAATAAAACTATATTTCTTTCAGTTTATGCATATTACTTTATAAATGGCTACTAAATTGTTAGAGCATAAATATTTATTAAATTGTTTTGGACTGAGCTATATAATTAACAGAATTGGTAGCTATTTCTTTTGGCCTTGGGGACACCATGAAAAATTGCTGAGGCACAAAGAGGCTTTGGAAACCTGTGCTTGTCCCATCCCGCTGGCAGCCCTCTCTTGACTCTCTTTTCCTGCAAAGCCCAGGCATCCAGAGTCATGATCAGTGACCACTAAAACGTGAAAATACTGCATACTGTTTGTGTGCTGGTGTTCCGACATTAGTTTCAAACAATTTTGTCAAGTATTCCAGGCCATTATTTTTCTCAATTTTATTCTAGTACAATTTTGTGGTTTGACAGCTGGACACCATTCTGGCAGAACAGTTTTAGTTTACAGCTCTTCTTATCCATGGCATGACACTCAGATTTTTCATGGTACTGTATGTCAAGTACACATCTGTGAGATTTTCTAAGAACATAGTGATGAGTGCATGATGAACACATTTCTTTCCCTTGAATTCATTGTAAAATATTCATTATAAGATAGTGTATTCATTAAGTTTTAGCTATTTTCTACTTAACATTACAAAATTAGCAGTTTGTCTCTGAATAGAGGCATTAGGAATGAATGTGATTTGTTGCCTCTTTTTTTTGTCTATATTTGTATTCACTTTTTGGAACCGAGAATCAAACTCAGGACTTTGCGCTTGCTGGGCAGGTGCAGTGCCACTGAGCTAAATCCCCAGCCCTGTCTAGATTTGTATAGTAAGCATGCTTTACCTTTATAGTAAGTTGGAGGGAAAGTATATTTGAAAACTATGCATCTTTTTAAATCTTAAAAGAAAATTAATGTGATTGACCCTGGTCAAGACTTTCTCAGTCTGCTGTTGAGAATAATTATGTTGGACAGAAAGGAAAGCAGAATGCTAAATTAAATCAAGGCCAGATTTGAAAGGTTGAGTTTAATGTGTCTGACCATCTTGCCAATCATGAAATTTATAAATTCTACTGTTGTTTCAATTGCAAGTCAGCTTTTGAATGTCATTTTAAGTATGAATACACTGGGGTTAAGGACTAGATTTTTTCCCATTCCTTCTCTGAACTACATAGCCATTTTTTCTTTCTTTCTTTTTCTTTCTTTCCTGGTAGCGCTTATCCTTTCTACCAGAGTGAAAATCTAAAGCATGGACTTTTGCTTTGTAAATTCTGTCCCCAGCTCCCATCCCAGTAGCTAGCAAGGGCTGGAAGGAAGGAAGGAAAAGAAAGAGGGGAGGAAGGAAGGTAGGTCAGTGTAAGCCTCAGAGACGACTGCCATGGTAGTGAGCAACCATAATCACTTTATTATTCAGCAGTAGCTTTAGGAAGGCAAAGGGCACATTTTAATGAAAACAGTGGAGAATTTGAATAAATCTATCATATATACTATTACTGCCTTGGTAAAATCTGACCTAATTCCTTTTAAGTAAAAGAGGTTTCATGAAAGGGAGCTTACTACAAAATCTAATTATAGACAAACCTAGACCTTTGGATTGGTATTTAAAGTCAGTAATGGCAAATTCATGTTTCTTATTTTACTAACCATTCTTATTTTAATCAGGAAAATATCTAGTTTTCTTCTTCTTTCCTGGCAAGTATTTCTGTCATGGACTTTTATATATCAGAATAATCTATGTTGAAAGTGTTTGAAATACAGTCATGTGCTGCACAAGGATGTTTCCATCAAAAACATGACAGTGGTCCCACAAGATTATTATCACCTAGCAACGTCTTGGATGTCTTACCTTTGTTTAGATACATGCTGACGTTTACATGACAAAATGATCAAGTGACAAGTTTCTCAGAATGCACCCCGTGTTAAGCCATGCATGACTATACATGCATGATTGAAACTGTTGACATACAAAATCCAATGTTCAGCCTGTGTGTTATAAATGCCACTGCCACCTCATTAAAACCTCCTATTGCAATGTTTCTGGAGTCCACTGATCTTGATATTGTTGTTGCCTTCTCTTCAAAAGAAAACCTAGGTCAGTACATCCTCCCCAAAGACATTCTGCACTGATACATGCATTTGCCTATGTACAGCCTCCTGGAGGCTATCAGCAGTATGCCTTGTTCTTCCTCAGGGAGACTCAATGTGTAAAATTGCATAATTAACTAATTGGAGTATTTACAGTAGGGTAAATAAATAACCTCATGACTAGATAATGTACACTCCAAATCTTGAAGCTTATGCTATGAAGAAATTATGAAAGCACATTATTCACATTCTCTGAGAATGAGATGTCTAGCCCTGTTAGCCACAGCTCACACAGCCATTTTTTACTGAACAGAAGAATGTTTGGAAAATGGCATTTTGAAAAATGTTAGCACTTTGGTGTTGAACTTGCTGAAACAATATAATTTGACTGTTTGACAGAAGTTGCCTTGGGAGAGATTATTCATCTAATTTCATCTAAAGTTACTAGAACGATAGTGAGGCCAGAAACAAATACCAGCTGGGTGATAAGGGAGCAGTGCTGTCTAGCTAGACAGAGCCCCTTAGGGGTGATAGCTAACCACAGGGTCACTTCAAGTGACCTAAGGAAGGAAGCTTATGGCATGTATAGGTTAGAGAAGAACACTCTTATTATGTTTTTATTTACTTTGCCTTTATTAAAATATGTCTGTGCTCACTTTGGCAACACATATACTGAAATATTTCTGTGCCACTTTAAAAGCACATAAAGAAATCAAAGCATACACATGCCCCAAAACAGGAGTATTGGAAAATTCAGAAAAGAATAATGAATATGATTAAAGCAATGCACATTACTTAAATATGGAGCATAGTTCAGTGGCAAGGCACTTACCTAGCACGCACAAGACCCAGAGTTCAACTCTCAGTATTACAAGAAAAAAAAGAAGGGATTTTAAGCTTTAAGGAAAGTAAGCTAAAAAGTGACTTAACTACTCCTTTCAACTACTCTTTCAACTAACTATTCTTTTCAGCTAACTTCC